CCCGACACGTAACTCTCTGTTCCTTTTTAGTCTATATGCATCTCTGCATTTTTACATGTGCCTGCAAAACACGACGCCTCCCAAGTTCATATGAGTTTTGTGTTGCGTGAGGTATGACAGGCTTGTGTTTCAGTTTTTTTTTTTTCTGTTTTCAGTTTAAGGTTGCATTATTTTCTGTTGTATTCCATTACAAAAAGAGAAATATATATACGTATAAAAAAAAAAGCAACTCCTGTTTTGTTGGTTCTGAGTTCCTCCTCTAAAAGAGGACAGACAACTGGAGAGACACGAGACAAAACGCATCAGTTGGCTTCTCAACACAAAAGACAGATGTGGGCAAAAGAAGTGAAATTTCTCCAATGTTACACTGCACACATGGTCAAAAAGTGACTACAGCCATTTTCTTTTTCCTCTCTCTTTTACACAGAGCAGTTAAAGCATCAAAATACAAAGAAATATACGAAAACAAGGAAAAAGAAAATCTCCAATATTCTGTTTAGGAGTCTTTTTTTTTTTTAAAGTCCTCTCTTTTTTTAATTTTGCTTTATGGATTCGTATCATTTCAGATTTTATTTTGTCCCATAAGGAAAAGCAGCATTTAACCCCCTCAGTTACACACAAAAACCCAGTCAGCTCAACAAAAGGACATCAGATTTCTTACACTCCTCTTTCAGTTGTTTAACAAAGAGGTGATCCAAACCTCGATCTCTGGAATGTGGGATATTCTTTTCCGACCCCCACAGTATTAAAATTTTCGACTGGAATTGAGAGGAGGAGGTGGTGGGGACGGGGGGTCTCATTTGGGGTCCTCAGCTGGTGTGGGAGAAGAGGTTGGGGCACCTAACTTGGGGGGGAAGGGGGGGAGGGACATTGCATATCCAACATTTCCCCCATCCACAATTCCCACTTTAATCCAAGTTAATAATGGCATTTTGTTTTCTTTTGGTTCCTTGCGTCTTCAAATCTCTCGATTTCGCCTCTACTGCTTTGCTGTTCACATTCAATCGGTGGCGCCTCTCTGAAAGGCGTTTATGGCCAGCCTTGTCTCACAAGGTGGAGAGGCCTGGATCCTGTTTGGTGTCAGCGATTCTTGGCCAAACCCGTGGGGGAACAGCAAGGTTAAGAAGAGGAGGAAAAACAATTTGGAGGGCCCCAGATCTGAAATGTAATGATGATGATTACGAGAAGACGATAAGTGCTACACAGCCCTCCAAACCCTCCCATGCAGGGGTCTCTCACAACTCCCCCATCCCTGTTTTTCTCTGGGTTGTCGGCGTGACGCCGGCAACAGGAAAGGTTTCGGCCTGAGGCCACTGTGGCTGTCAGCCTCTGTTATACAGAGTGGTCAAGGATTCCCATTTGGGGTGAGTTGGGCCAACAAATGTGTACAGATAAAACTCTGAAGAGGAAAGGGTGAAAGTGAGGACCGCTCCAGTAGTGCAAAAACTCCCACTAGCCAGGCTGGATGGGGATGTAATGACGGCTTGAGCTCAGCTCCAGGGAAGGCCATGAGGATGGCAGAGCAGGAGAAGTGATGAATCCCAGAAGCTGTTGATGTGCTTAAAGGAGCAACATTCCAGGTCCTCTTTAACTTTCCGTTGCGGACGCTTATCCATCTGGTAGAGGTGTGAGTTATCCATTATGTACAGGACTGCTGCTTGACATTTAAATAGAACCGACTCTTTTATAGGAGGGGAACCCAGATTTGGCATGGACCCAGAATTGAAGGAACAGAGTGGGCTTTTTTAACAGATGGTGTATTCTTTAATAGTCATTCAGCTGCCTCATGTTTGATGTCTGCCACGGATGTTTTACACATTACTAATATAGTGACAAGAACTGGGATACACAAGACATTTGATTACAATCATGACAAAAAGAAACTCCGCCTTTGTTGCCATGGGATTTAAAAGTAAGTCTAGTAGAAATCAATTCACCAAGTGTGACCCAGAAGCCTCTTCAAAATGGGCGTTCTGACAGTTAGCTGGTCGGGAGTCAAACATTAGTGGGCTAGCACAATGTCAAGGTAGAAAGCCATCAGCAAAGAGTTCATGGAAGGAACTGATGGTGCCGCCAATGTCGGGGTGGCTATAAGGCCATTTCTGAACATTCTACACTGAGTTTATGATTTAAACTTGGAAGCTGCCCAAAGTTTAAAAAAAAAAAAAAAAAAAAAAAAAAAACTAATTCCGCCCCAAAATAAAAACATGCAATATTCGTAAGAACTGTGAAAACCCAACGAGCACGTTAAATGTTACGTTTTGTAGCGATATCAAATCACAGTGGCGTGACTTTGGGTTCCTGGTCGGCAATGAGTCGTAAGACTTCAGGAACAAAGTCCTTCACCAACTGACAAGCACAGTGGTGGAAGGGGGATGATTTGGCCTTGATTTGCTGTCTCAGTAAAAAGGCAGCTTGATCATATATTCCTCTATAAAACAATGTATTATTAGAGTGAAATTAGAATTCTTATGTCCGACGGCTGAAGCATGGCTGAAATTTGGACTCAATGGGACAGGGACACCAAACTCAACAGGGAATATTTTGCTGTAATGAAAAATGGAGGCTAATCTACAGTGACTAGAGAAACGAATAAAACCTACAGTAGATCATTCAATGTAGTTTTTTTTTTTCCTATCACTGTACTAATCAAAGGTGGAAATCAACACTGGTCACTGGACAAATGTCAAAATGTTACATTTAATAAAATTCAACCTGTTAAAATCTTGCAACATACACTTAAATTAAATTATACAATTTTTAGCATTTTTAGATTTAAAGATTTTAAATATCATCTCTATATTTTACATTTACACTTTAATTACCAATAGAAACAAAGCGGTTAAGTACACAGTTACGAAAGGTTTAGCTTTAAAAGCAGCAAATTTATGTGGGAAGGGGAAATAAAACTCTGCATAGGCACAAAATAGGAGTACAAATAGGAGAAAGTGACCTGGGACTACGCTTATAAAAAAAAAAAAAAAAAAAAAAAAACCTCTTTGTTTTGTTTACATTAAAGATCAATGTAGCAGAAAAGCACGCTTAGGACTATGAAGTATTTAAAGCCTCTAAAATGTCTGAGGGTCTAGCACAAATTTTGAAATTAAAACGACAGTGACCTTGTTGGAAACTTTCTTTTCCCCATGATTGTAAATCTAATGTGGTGACCATCAATCACAAGACATCCCGTTTTGTTCTATATCCAGTGGCAGAAATCATTGGTGAGCTGTGGAAAGCCGCTCGTTTGCAGACGCCCGGTCTCTGCGCGCTAATTCAGCGGGCGTGGCCATCGTGGGCGCTTGCTCGCTGTGCCCCGTCTGCTCCCCTTGCTTGTTCTCTGAGGTGGTCTAAGCTGGGGGGGTGGGGGGGTGCCCACCGTTCATTTGTTGCTCCTGTAAGTCAGTTTCTGTTTCCACAGAAGGGGGTGAAAGGATGACGCTTGGTCCCAAATAACAGAACAACGAGATGATCCGAATGTAATGGGTACCACTCCCTCTCCGCCCCCCGCAGGGTGGGGAAGGGTGGTCGGCCCTCCTGTCTTTTTGTACGGTTTCTCATTAGAACCAAGTGAGAGAGTTAAATGTGTGTCTGTGTGTGTTCTTTGAGTGTTTTTGTGCCGCTTTGCAAAACAACAACAACAAAAAAAGAAAAGTCTGAACTTTTGTGTTAGTCCACATATGAAACCAGTTGAACGGTGTATGTCTGGCTGTGGGCAGCTGCCCTATGTCCACAGAGGTGAGGTAGTGCCTGACACCGTGGGGCAGCATGGCCGCCCCATCCTCGGGGTGTGTCCTTATTTGAGGTAAATGGTAGCCTTCTTGGCCTTTTCGCCTGCTCTCGGTGACTCCCATAGATTTCTTTTTTTTTCTTTTCTTTTCGGTTTTTTTCTTTTTTTTTTTCTAAAAAAGGCAAGTGTGTATGGAAGCCTGGAGGGGCCACACTGAGCTGAGTCCATGAGGAGAGGACTCTGTAGAAACCCTACGGATGAGGGCTTTAAATCGACACTGTCGTGCAGTGTGTACAGTAAAATGAGGCATTTATGTTACTCTGAGGTGAAGTTGTGTGTTTTCATATAAATGTGTGTGTCAAATGAAGACGGAGGCAGACGGGGTGCAGAAGATTTACTTCTGACCCCAGTCCGGGTATTACGTCGCATTTCCTCTCCCTGCCTCCGCTCCTCCTTATTTTCTGCTTCTCAAAGGGAATCTCTCCCTCCTCCCGTCGCGTTTTTCCTTTCCTTCTTTCAGAGTCGTAACTCCTCGGAGACAGAAGCGCTTCATTGTCATTCATACGACAGTATGAGAGCTGCGCAGGCAGCGACGAGGACCGCTTGCACATATGTATGTATGTATGTATGTATGTATGTGTGTGTATGAGTCACAGGAGCCGGTCCAATGACAAAAAAAAAAAAAGAGAAAAAAAAGTAGATTTGGTCTGCCCCCTTTTTAAAGGCTGACAGAACATTTTCATCGAACTGGACTAGCCTTTTTTTTAATATAAATATAGCACCTGTTTCAGTGGGATCTTAGAGGAGGAGCAGCTCCAAAACAAAACAACAAAACAGCAGTAACGGCTCAGATTGAGTTGATTTACCTGGCAGCCGAGTCCGGTTGCTTTTGCTTCCATTGGCGCCATTGCACACCAAAGAAATGTGGAAAAAGATAAAAAAATAAAAAAAATAGCTCGCAGTGTTTGCCGATTGCTCACATGCCTGTGAGAAATGACGCCGTGTTTTCTGAACTACCGTTTTAACACTTATTCAGAAATAATACTGAAAGATCCTGACCAGCTCTGATGCTGCTTCAAAACGTGAGCGCTGAGAAGCTTAAAAAAAAAAAAAAAGGAAACAAGGAGGGGAACCTGATCCCCACAAACAATGCTGCCCTGAAGAACTGAGGTGAAACAAGCTGTGGCTCTGTGTGTGAGTGTTTTTATGTGTTTGTGGATGTGTCTTGGCAAATGGCAACAACTCTTTCTGGACAAAACAGCTTGCTCAGACAGAAGGGCCCCCACACGGATGTTTAAACAGAAGGTGTAAGAAAGAGAAGGGAGGAGGTTCTTGTTCCATTCTCCCGTTGCTGGTGTGTGTTTTCTTTCCGGTTATATCCAGTTTCTTTGTAACCACAAACTGTGAATTTGATGTCGGAGAAACGCAAATTCCTGCCGATGAGACTCTCCACGCGTCTCTGTGGCTTAGCCCGTCTCCCGTTTCCTGCTTTCCGTTACACACGCTGGCGTCTGCACGTGTCACACTTCCTGTTCCTCGAAGACCTCGAGGAAAAGCGGCGGGAACAGTTCGTTGGGACACTCCACCTTCATGTGAAGGAAACGGCTGGCGTGGCACGCGCCGATCATCCGCAGGTCCGTCACCTTCATCAGGAGTTTGGGCCAGAAGTGGGGAATGTTGTGCTTGCGGTAGTTGATGTAGTGCTCGAATGCCAGCAGGTACGTCTCCTGGCACTTCTCTATCTTGTCCACAGACGTCAGGCCTGAGCGATCTGTCAAGAAAGGAGGCAAAGGAACATTTAGCAAACTCTGAACTTGGCAGCGTTTTCTTGACTTGTTCTGATGATGTGTGGCTACACCAATAAATCATTGAGAAAGCCAGGAGCAGGTGCACAAATGTTTTACTCAATAATGCTACACCAAAACAACAACAACAACAAAAATGTTCATTGATAATATAGCAGAACTGACAGTCCTGTTGGTAGTTAATGGATGGCTTTCTTCATGCATGAGAAAAAATGGAGGTGTAGGAGCAATTCAGAGAAGCTACGGGGACGGACTTTTGGTTGGCCTCAAGAAAGCTCTGGAAGTGACACAGAAATGTCTTGTTTGGCATAGGGTTTGAGCTGCTGACCCACACAAAGGACCTTGTTGGGTAACGAAAGAATAACTTTGAGGATCTCCTTAATCCAGTCCCCATGTCCTTAGTAGAGGAAGCAAATTTTCCAAGTTCAAAATGTACTTCCGCTACATGACTCGGTTAGTACCGGGTAGCTCCTCATCAGCACGTTGCCTGGAGTGCAGAGAATTCATCCTGAGATGGTGAAGACTCTGGGCATTATTGGCCTGGTTGACAAATCTCTTTTTTGTTACATGTACGACTGGGACAATAGCTCTGGAGTGACAGATTGGGACGGTGCACCCAATCTTTAAGAAAAGGGACCAGAAAGTGTGTGAGGAAGGTTTAGACGAGGCATTTCTTTAAAGGACAGCTTCCGGTTTTTAAACACCTAGTTCTAAGCACTATGTGCAGTACTTAATGGGCTTAAACATTTCACCTCCCAGGGAGAAGTACGATGGAAATTTTTATTTAAATAACATTAAGTAAGACCTCATTTACTACATGTTTCATTCGATGGCACGTAAAGCCATTGACATGAAATTATAAACTGAAAGATGCCTTTTTTCCTTTAAGCATACCTGAGCTCATGAGAAGCACGGCCTGCAGAAGCGCCACTTCCGTGTCGTCCAGGTTGAACTGCGCCAGGCTTTTGCCCAAATCAAAGATGGCGTCAGACACCACACCCAGCCCTCCGTTCTTCAGCTGCTCGCGCTTCACGGCTATCTCCCCGCTCAGCGTCAGCGTCTCGCTTTCGGGGTCATAACGGATTGCCGCTCGCAACGACATGATCTCCATGCAGCAGCCCTTCAACAAGATGATCTGGTCTTCACAAGGCAGCTGGTGATCATTAAAATAAATAAATAAATAAATAAATCTATCATTCAATGCAAACAGCAATGTGAAGATATATTGTGCATCCATTTACATTTATGTTGTTGGAAAAAAGTTCATTACAATGAACAAGTTTCCTCACTTGACCGTTGTCAACAACAGCCACTAAGTGTGTCCATGATATCCATGTTGACAAGAATGCTACTGCCAACACAAGAACAAATGTTTTCATGTTATGCTAGCCCTTAAATCACTGCACTGGTTTTCTGTTTCTTTTTGATAGTCTATATGGTTTATAGTCTATGGGCCAGAATAAATGTTAGTCAGTAACTCTAACCCTTAATGTCCCCAGTATCAGAAGTAAACAAAGGGTGGCAGCATTTATTTTCTATGATTTCCAGCTCTGTGACAAACTCCATGAAAACATGCTCCTCAGCTCCATTCCTGGGTTTGTGCATTTTCCAGGCAGCATCAGAGCGCCGCATCCATTCACTTATGGTGTTCTTATATGGACGACGACATTTATAGCAACAGTGTTATTTCTACGTGTATATTTTAGGGGCAAACGGAAAAGATTGTTCCGATCAGTTGTGTTCTCAGGTGGGCACGGCCTAATCGGCTCAGTTTCTGTGTTACACACGACAAAATAAAATACAATAAAATAATTCCCAGCATCAACCAAAGTTTATCAGATAACGTGAGAGACAAATGGATACTAGTAAAAGAAGTGGTTCAAGAACAGAAGAAAAACAATGGATGAATACCGAGCATGTATTTGTTTCCGCGAATAAACAGATTATTTCAAAACCACCCTGATTTACATGGATGCAAGCCCCTCTCAGCTGAATCTCATCTCGTTACGTGTGCAGAATGCGTTCACCGAATTAATCCCACCTCGGTGCGAACTCTACTCTCCTTGTGTCGCTCCTGGCAGCCGAGCCGATTAATTGACATTTGTTGCCTTGATCTGTCTTGTAAATTTGTAATCATGGCTTGTAACTGAAGCTCAAACCAAACACTTACAATGCATTTATGGCTGTGTCAATTTAAAGGAGCAGCAATTAATTAGTGTTTTTTTTTAGTGAGTAAATGACTGTGGGCTTTGTTTCTGTGCATTTCCTATCAGGGCTTCAGACAGGCAGCGTGAAGAAGCCTCTCGGCTCAAATAGGTTTTTCCCCGTAGTCCAATGTTATCAGATTAAACAGCCTAATTTATAGTGACTTTTATTATTTTGAGATGAAACGAGGCAGATTCTGGCATTGCTATCTGCTTAGCTTTAATTTTCATCTCAGTAAACACAATGCGTTTTTTTTTTTTTTTGTCCTTATTGATTTCAGTGGTATCATCTATCAAGAAAGAAACCATTAAACACACAATTATACTGGGGAAAAAAAGCAGTTTCAACATCATTGCCTTCGATTTTTGTTTCTAAATGTTGCACGGGATTACGGTTGCAACTTCTCCACATCTGTAGCTAATTATGCCACAAATTCCCACTCACAGGCCTAAATCCATCTGGCCCACCAGACAATAACTCTTCAATCAGTGCTCAATAATGTAATGCCTTGTCACTACTTTATTAGATGTTTACTAATTAATGTAACAGAAAACCGACTATCATATGTAAGAAAGTTTGTTCCCTGAGGTGTCTACCTGTAGGTCAGTGCTGGAGGAAATATTGACTAATACAAGTGTCTGTTCGCTTCACAAATACAAAGCGACAAGAAAAAAAACAAAACCCTTTTTGAAAGAAAGTCATGAAGTCTGTCAGATCCGAAACATACAACCAGAGGCACAGTAGAACACTTCAGGTTGAAGTAGACGCGTCCAGATCAAGTCCAGATCTATATCAAACTGAGAATCTTGGGAAATATCTTAAAAATCGACATCGACAGATTTAAAACGATGAAAATGTGCAAAGGTAGTACTGCATGTAGTACAGTACATGCAGGTCCATGCACCTGCATGAACCAAAAGACATGCAGGTGCAATAGCAGCAAAAGTTGATACTTGAATAAATTTCCGAGAACCACAAATCCTTTCTTTTACTTCTGAAGTTATGGAGATCTATAATAGAAAATCCCAAGGTGAAACAAAATGTAAAGCAGTTTAAATGTTTAAGAGGTATGAATAAATTTGCAATGAAATGTATTGGCCTTTCCTTCAGACAGATTAAATGATCTGCTTGACAAATCACACTTATCATCCTCACATCTCTGAGCGCTCACAAACACACGCGGCCTGACAGAGGCCATCTACGCACGAACTGGTCGTCGGTTGCCAAATAATCAGCCTTCCCTCACCTCAGAGAACATGGGCAGTTTTTTGGCAAAGTCGACTACTCGTGTGATGGCAGGGGTGATGATCTTGGTGAATTCGCTGAAGGCTTCCAGGTCCACCTTGTCTCCGTCGGACGTCGGGGCAACCGGAGATTGGCCAATCTTCTCTGGCTGCATTGGGGGAAAAAAAAGGCAGCGATTAGCGCAGGGTGTTAAACAATCCTGAAGAGATATCTGTAAAACCCGGAGAGGACATTCTTAAAGATCTCGATTTTCAAGAGTGTCTGTCAAAACTTACCTTTCAAAACCCTCATCAGGATCCTGCAAGAGCCTTGTGCTGCTTTAGTTTGCCTTAGTGGTGCACAGTTAAGGGGAATAATTTTTGTACTTTTTTTTTTTACTACTAATTGGTTTGACTAATTCCTTTGCCTTGAGCTCTTGTGACAATGAAACACATTTCTCGTCAAGGTTAAGGCTGATGTCTCACAAAGCCCCCATCCATTGCTCACCTCAAAACTTTTCCAGTTTTGTTTTTTTTATTTATTTGACAATCACATTTATCATTTATCATTCACCTTCTTCTTCTTCTTCTTTGTAATTGTGCTCCACTTTATCTTGGTCTATCGCATAAGATCTTGATAAAATACACTTTTGTTTCAGGGTCTAATGTGACAAATGGGGAAAAGTCAAGGGTTTGCATTCAGAAATCTGCGTAAATTGAGGTGTGATAATGATACATATTGTGTCGCCTTCCCCTGAATAAAGCATGTGCCAAAAGCTATAGCAGTTAATTTAAGTTGGGCTCCGGCCATGAGCAGGATAAAACTAAAGCGTGAGAATAATCGTCGCAAACAGTAAAAGTCATCAATCATGGAACACCGAGATGGATGCTGCGAAAGAGCCAAAAACTAAGCATAGTGTTTCGAAGGTGGAGTTCAGGGACAATTTTTTTACATCACTGTTGAGAAAATAGCTGTCAAGGGAGAGTCAGGAGAATCAGCTGCAGGTTATACATACTGAGAGCATAACACTCCTTCCGCAGTCTTTCAGTCATATTTTACGTTGCTTAATGGATTTTTGTCTGTGCAGAGTTCATCCTTAACCCCAGTGTGATTAGAAAAGCATAGAGAACTTAAAAAATGGTAGCAATAAGCAAAAAAAGAAGTCTTCACAGTAAGCTCTGCAGATTACCTAGATTAATGCAGGGAAAAAAACTTTTTGGAACTGATGGGGATTAATCACGGTGCTTTTTCTACTTCCAAATCAGTCCGATTTCTAAAATAACCAAGGAGCCTCGATAGAACTAATAGAAAATGTCTGTTTTAGGATTTATGGGGATTCCAAGCTTACTTCTTTGTCTCTTCTTGGGTCTTGCTTTCAATTAAAAAAAAAAGTGTACTGCTCCAAGGTTTCCACCCATTAATTGTGTAAAAACTCCACACTTTCCCAGACTCAACTTTTCAGATTTCATTTTAAAGTACACTACTCTATCAGTACACCATCAATTTATGACTATGGAAGGACAGAAGGAAGGACATGTGGATGGAATGGAATGAATGAAAAAGGGAAGAACACCGGGAGAGGAAGACAGTAAGGAAAGAATGAAGGTGCAAAGAGAGGACACAGTGCAGGAAGACGAGGAGGAGAGAAGAAAGAATGCACAAAAGGAGGAAAGAAAAGATATAGGGAAGTAAATAGAGGATGGAAAGAAGAAGGAATGTAAAGACGGAAAGACAGGAAGAACAAAAGGAATGATGGAAAAGAAAAACAAAAAGGCACAAAGATGGAAGGAAAGAACGAAAAAGACAGACAGACAGACAGACAGACAGACAGACAGAAAGGAAAGAAAGAAAGAAAGAAAGAAAGAAAGAAAGAAAAAGAAAAAAGATGGTATTTATGAAACAAGGAAGGTAAAAATAAGGGAGAAAAGAAGCAAAGAAGAAACAATGAGGAAAAAAGAATGAGAACAAAGATGAACAAAAATAATGATACGAGGAAGGAAATAAGAAAGAAAAGAAAGAAAACAAAACAAATGAAAGGAAGAAGAGAAAGTGTAATCAAAACCAAGAATAATGTGAACCTTTGAATGAAAAGATGTTTTTATCAGATTTACGGACTGAAAAATACCAAAGTGTCTCACGGTGACCTTCACACAGAGTTTCCTTTTGCTCAGCGAGTCAGAATGTAATCCTAGATTTATGGGCAGTTGGGAAGCACGATCCATTAGAGTTCAAAACAAACTACACTAGGAAGTTTAGGAGTAATTTATACCAGTGCTTACTTTCCGCCTAGTCTACCGAACTCCCTAGTTTTCCAACACAAAGCTGAAGCTCCAGCTCAATGTTATTCTAAAAAATGTTCCAACAGCACCAGTCTTAATTTGGATTCCTGTTGGGAGGACTTTCTGACCCCATGATTAGGTTTCAGAAAATTCACGGCATTTTTTTTAATGCATACATTGAGATTACTGAAGTTAAAAACACAAGATAATACATAATATTTATTTGTCCATCTTCAAGACCTCCTTGTTTATGTCCAAAGGACACAGACGGAGCAAAAAAAAAAAAAGGACTTCAAGTGAATTAAAGAAATCAATCAATCAGAGAAATAAAAATTAGCATCTTGCAAATGATACATGGATCTAAGTGTGAATAAAGTTCAACTGATTTACAGACAGAGAAGTGGGGAGGAACCTTATTATTGCAGTTTCAGCATTAAAGTGCTGAACTGTTGACCTATTATCAGATACATTAACTCTGGAAACTTTTTTCATAATGAGCTTATTGTATGTCTGTTTCATACCAACGGCAATTAAAACTGGTCACTCACAATGTGTCAAGTTCAAAGCCAATTTCAATAATAATTACAAGTTGCTTTGCCCCAATTCTGGCATCATGGATCAAGAATCAAACCAAAAAAACATTATGAATATACATAATTCCCAATGATATACAGATGTTTTTTTTTCTAAGATGAGATAAAAAGTTCAACAGTTAGAAGTTAAAAATTATAAACACAATGCACACAACATCTGACAGGATGATGAGATCTCCTCTGGGAACCTCCAGGTCTGTGGTATTTTTTACTTAGTCTACCCTGAAGTAAAAGCAGATGTTCAATGGGCCTTAAAGTGGATCTGTTTCTGTTTCTAATTGCAAAGACTGAAAACAGGGATTCAGACTCAGTATTTGGCAAATGTCCCTAAGAGCAACAGTTTAAAGTTTAGGACCTGTGAAAAACAGGAGATTTCTGTGTGCTGAAGGGTTGTGGAGAGGTTTTATGTTTTATTTGGCTCAGAGAACAGAACAGCAAACCGAGAAGGACGGCGTGTACAAGATGATCCAACACTTAAAGTGAAAAACTACTCCCACAGTTTTTGTTTCATAGAAGTTCATTCTGGATGCATCCAGCTGTTTGAAAGCGCTACTAGTAATCTTAGCTTTGACTTTTAAACAGATATCACACTGCTGAGTAAGACTATTAGTGTGGTTGGCATTGCTGGCATTACATAAAACAGCGGCTTCTCTGTTGCCGTTCAAGGGAGAGCACCTTAACTTTGAGATTTCCGAGAGGCTGATGGCATGTTCAATGTCAGCGTATTTCATGGCGGGGGCCTCACCAACACTGAAAAACAGTTAACTTTGAGCTTTTTTCACTCAGAAACAGCATCCGCACTGAAGGATGTGGGTTGTCAAGATGAGCTGGAGAGTTCCTGAATCGGCAGAAATACAGCAGACTCAGCCGATTGGTTGGATTCGATTCACTTACTTGAGTTAGTGGACTCACCGGAAACAACATCCCTTACGCCAAATGTGTGAGTCAACAGCAACACGTCAAAAGGGGGGTGTCATACCCACAGCAGATAAAGCAACCCACGACTCACTCCAGCAGCAGCAGCAGCAGCAGCAGCAGAAAAACGACAGTTATTTGTTTTTATTTTCTTTTTTTAGAAATAAGGAAGTGAAAAATCGGTAACACTTTATTTGAAGGGGGTTGAATAAGACTGTCATAACACTGTCATAAACATGACATAACACCTGTCATGAACATGAATAAGCCTTCATGAATATTTATGACTGTTGTCATAAAGCGTCATTTGGTAAATTATGACACTTTTAATACAAAGTTGACATTATTCAAAATGTCTTTGTTATGACAACTTGACATTAACTAGGAAATCATTACTGTTTAAATTTTACCTTTAATAACATAAAGTTGCCTAATTTTTAAAGTGCAATCAATAATACTTTTATAACAAATTTATATCAGTAATGATTTCTTGGTTAATGTCAAGTTGTCATAACAAAGACATTTTGAATAATGTCAACTTTGTACTAAAAGTGTCACAATTCACCGAATGACGCTTTATGACAACAGTCATAAATATTCATGAAGGCTTATTCATGTTCATGACAGGTGTTATGTCATGTTTATGACAGTGTCATGTCAGTCTTATTCAACCCCTTTCAATTAAAGTGTTACCGAAAAATCAAGCAAATTCCTTATCTATATACTTTATCTCATGGGGACAAGAAAAACATCATGCATTCATTCCCCAAGAAGTAAATTTAATTCAATTACTTTCGACTTTTAATTATTCCTCCTTTCTTCTAAGAGGGCGTTTTTCAAATCAGAACGCCATCACCACCTTAATGCACAGCAAATCGATATAATAAGCCGAGTTTACAGTCTCAGCAGAGACCCGCTGAAGCCCAGGCGTGATGTATTCACTGATGATAAACTCATCAAATGCTGGCACGTCGCCTGTCAAATACAAAAATCACATTTTTTTCCACGAGCGAATTTTAAATAAGGTGAACGAAAGAAATAAAAATGTTAAACTATTATATATATATATAAAGAGAACACAAATACAGATGGCGGAGTTTAAGAATAAAATTAACAGGTGTCATGACTCAATGTGGTTTAAGTTTTTATAAAAAAAAAAAATAATAGGCATAATAGGGTGTAAAATATAAACAAATAAGAGCTTTTCAAAAATGTTACATTGTGATGTACATTCCTAAACCGTGGCAACCAAATCAGTTTCCATCTTTATTACAGAGAACTGCGTCTATTTAAATGAATAAATGAATAACTTTCAGAATGTTACTGTATAGATTTGCTTCTGGTCTCTTGGCCTTATTAGACTGAAAAGCCTTCTAAAATATTATATATTTGTTGTACGTAAGAGAGCTCAACCTGCTCACGCTTTGACTGGTAACAAAAACAAGTTCATGCACACTCTTTTGTTCCTGCTCCTCTCAGGTTTGTCCTATAAGGCTTCACATCTCACACAAACTCAGGCTGTGACCTTGTGTTTTTGGCTCAGGATTATCTGAAGCATTCAGCTTTTATGCACCTTCAAACACTTTCAGAGCCAAACTCCTACCCCGCAGCAAGATCCGACCTTTAGAGGAGACTCTCTTGGATTAATATTTATTTTTTTTTTCTTTTTTTGCATTCGAGTGTCAGACCATGAAATGTTGTACATCTAAAAGAAAGTGGAGTTAAGTGGACAAAAAAGAATGAAAACCAGAGCAACGTGTTCTTACCAGGAATTTGCGGTTCTGTTTCCACTGTGCGCCCTGAGCGTTGGTATGCCGATGGGCCTCCGTCACCAGCCGGATCAGGTCCCACTCGGCCACAGTGGGCTCTGGACGGGTCTGCAGGGTCTTCACCATCTCCTCCTTTTTGCGTTTCTCCCTGTTCTCCTCAATAAGGCGCCGTTTGGCCACCCGCTTTGAGTCATCCAGGACCACTGGGTAGGAAAAGAGAAAAGCATTTAGGTTTAGTTTAAAGGTAGAGTTTTGTTTTTTTTTAACTAGAAAACACATTTCAACCACAATGACTTGTGAGTTAAAGTTCCCAATCCAAACTTTACTATCAATTGTCTGAATGTGTACCATCATCTACACTCTGCCAACAAACTCATGTTTCATGAGATTTTATTAAAGCCTTTGTATAATAGCTCAAGCTCAGCCTGAATGAATGGAAAGCATCCATTTTCATGCCATTGCACAAGCTTTCACTTGGACACATAAATATGCTTTCATCTAAGCTGTTCCATTGTAACTCTGGACATATAATTAGGGACAATGACCTTGTAGAAGGTCAACCTCCACCCCATTCCCAAGTCTTTCTCAGCACCCGACATGACATTTTCAGGATGGTGTAAAGTCTGCTTTACCTAATTGGGTTGTGGGCAACTGGAAACAGGAATTCGGGATTGTACTTAAGGGTAACAGATTAATAGGGGCCAAATACAAATGTGTGCCATTGTTTTCTAGTTTTTCTGTTTAAAGAAAAAGTGAAACTATTCAACTTTTGCTCTACTTTACCAGGATTAAAAATCCCAATAAAATACATTGAAGTTCATGCTTGTCGAGTGACAGAACGCGGAAAAGCCTTTGCACTCACAGTCCATGGCCATTCCCACCGAGATGCACTTCTTAAAGCGACACAGCTGGCACTGGTTCCGGGTGATCTTGTCAATAATGCAGCAGCCATCATATTCGCAGGAGTAGGTGGGGTGGAGGTTCTTTTGAATGGTCCTACGAAAGAAACCCTGCAGGCGCGATGAAAAGCACACACACACAGAGAGATAGATAGAGAGAGAGAGGGAGACTGATGAATGAATGAACGCTTCAGGCAGAGTGACAGTCGGTCGCGTACGGCGGAGGCCTGACGGGAGACAGAGCAGGCAGAAATTAAAGCGATGGAGGACAAGAAAAGGACAAGATGAGATGAAAACCTTAAATCCCACGTCCTACGACGGCTCAGTAAAGTCAGGATCAATCAGTCCTCCTGCTGGTCTTGTTTGTGAGAAACGTTAACACACAGTATGGTGTAAAAACCTTACATCAAGCCTTAGTTATTTTATCTTAGCTTCCGCAAAGGAATACATTTCCTATAATCTTGTATCTGATCCACAGATCCAAATAAGCTGATTTTCAGCCTGTCTGAGGGTTTTTTTTTCTTCTTTTTTATTACTTTTATTGAATTCTTCTTATTGTGAATCACATCCAAAACATAATCTCTCCTAAGCATGTAAAGATCACTTGTACTTTCACACTGAGAAAAGCCTTCGCCTGTAAAATAAGCAAAAAAAAAAAAAAAAAAGAAGCTACAGATAACCGACGGAGGCGAGCGTCTCTGCGGAAGCGTACCTTGCAGCCCTCGCAGGTAATACAGCGGTAGTGGTACCCTGTGGCCTTGTCGCCACACACCACGCATGGCTCATCCTTTTCGAGGTAGCTGGGGATGTACCCTGAAAGAAGAAGGAACACAAGCATAAACATCACTGCGGGAGGAGGGCTGTTTAAACCAGAAACGAGCACCGTGCGAGGAACCCCAACTTTAAATGCTCCCTCTCTACTCCTAATTTAACTTTCAGAAATCTAATTAAAAAACTTTCAAAAATATCTTCAATGGGTTTAATTGGATGTGAACTTTATGGAAGTAGTTACACACAAGTCATAGGTTGGGAACGGAACAGCTCGTTCTCCTCCTATGCCGCCTCCGAGACTGGGGGAGAACCGAGGAGTTTGCTCAGCTCAGAAACACAGGAAATAGCAGATTTCCAGACATTTCATGTGCCGTATACGTGGCCGAGCAGCTGGGAGGGGAGGAAACGGTCCAGCGCAAGTCGCAAATAAAGTCGGCGTGGGCACAAACGTACACAAACTGAGCGGCTTCAGCATGCGCTTTTAGCTCCGCGACTGCTCAGAAACGTTCAGCTCCTTCCGACGCATATCGCACTGCATCAGGACTGAGGCGGGCAGGCCTCTTTTATGGTATGATAACAACCCCAAACATGAAGGGAGAGAGAAGGGGAGGAGGGGGGGTAGCAGAGTGCTCCAGCAGACGGTTTGGCCCCTGCAGAGTCTCAGATTACATCCAGACAGAAGAATCGGAGAACCTGGATCCACTGATAAAAACCTGAGATTCGTGCAGCGTTTTATCTTTTTTTTTTTTTTGCATGTCTGTAATCTCCAAAAGTGCAGCGAGGAGAACGGGCGAGGTCACACGTGGTCAAAAAGTGACCCAATTCTTTGTCTGGCTTTAACTTATTCAAACAGATTATTAATTAAAGAACCTTTCCTTCTTTACTCTCCAGTGGATGCAGCAGCACTGCAGCTGTGTGCCTGTTTGTATTGAGGCGTGTTGAGAGCTGTGACTGGCAGTGTCAGTTGCGCCCTGCTTTTTGGCTTTGCTACAGATTCTACATGAGGAAGAGGATGAGGAGGAGGAGAAGGAGGGGCAGTGCAAGAAGAGGATGGTGGGAAAGCGAGGCAAGAGTGAGTGCCAAGGGGGCACAACAAGTCACATTTCAAGCCAAATCGATTTGAACAAATACCACCGAGTTCAAGCTGAAAAACCCCCACCGGGGATCGTAATAAGATTTTAGACAAAAACAAACAAAAAAAAAAAGAGCCCAGAACTGAAGAAGAAAATATAGAAGCTCAGAAAAGCATGAGGAAAAAAAATAAGGAGAACATCAAGACCGAGGCAAGCCTGTGAGAGAAATGTCAGTGCTGCTGCGCTGGCAGGGCCGAACAGTGGTAGACCGATCCCAAAGCTAGTCTGTGGCTGCTTTCGGAAGCCAAGCCCAAAATCAATACCGCTGCAGCTCTCTGGATGTGGCAGTGCCCCCCCCCCCACCCCCTTTTTTCTTTTTTGGAAGAGGAAACTCAAGAGACATCGACGAGGGTCGCTGCTGCAGCGGCAGAGCCCAGATAGATACTCGGCCTTCACGAGGTTCGCACCAGAACAGCTGCTTTCTTTGTTTGGATCGGAACGGAATGGATCGGGTGTCTGACGGAGTCCCGTGGTTCTTTCTCTGAGGTCCTGACACAACGGGAACCCGGGCAGGACGACATACGAGACTGTAAACACCGAGGACATTAGGGGATAATCCTGACTACACACACTAATCCCCTGCTGCTGTATGAACTATACAATAAAACTTTAATAGCATAATAAGCGATTACCCGTGCTTATGATGTTAAGAAAAAAAAATTAATGAGCTCCTAATTTGACAAAGCTTATTATCCTGTCCTGATGTTAGATCCTACACATACTTCAGGATACGCGGTGATGAAAAAGCAGGATTTCAATTAATATCCCAGGCTTTAAACATCTCACAAGAGCTCTGCTGAATCCATCATCTGAAGTGGTGGTAGTTACTGGACTGACTGTGAACTCTAAGGCGTAATATAAGACCGCGAAACGAGCGTGGCGTGACCCAAAGCGACGACAACTGTTCCTGTAGGTCAGAGACATTAATCATACTCTAGTGTCCATCTTTTTTGAGAAACTTGAGCAGAGTCTGATGGAGATAAGGTGCCGAGGATGGTGGGCAGCAACTTTGCTCGTATTTAAAGCACTGAACGCGTTTGGAGAGTGCACACGAGGATCGACACACGGAGTTAAGTCCGGGTAAACTTCCAGGAAGAAATCCTCACGGCCGCCAGGTTGCAACCCAAGCCTTTTAGGTTTCCACGATCGCAGCTCCTCAAGCTGAAAACTCACAAGTAGGGGTGGATAAAAATGTCGACTCGTCAATGCAATTGCAATTCATTTGTTTCTCCAATTCATTGTCAATTTGGGAAAACCTGTGAACTGCCAGTGTCGTTCGCACCCACCGTGCCGAGCAACACTTCCATGAGCTGCAAACGCGCTTGCTGCGCTTCCAACAAAAGATGAGCTGAAGCAAAGTGTTTTTTGTGTGTGTGTGTGTGTGTGTGTGCGTGTGTGTGTGTGTGTTTTCTTCTCAAAACCTTTACCGTAACACCAGTAAAGAAGACTCTTTTACAAGAGCAACCTGAAGAGAGAGAGGCTCAAATTGATGGTATTAATGGGCCATCCAGCAGCGAGGCAGGTGATTCAAAACATATGCCGGCTTGGAGGGAAAACAACAACATATCTGGTGCTTTATTCTCCTAAATAAAGCTGTTCCTCCCACCGTAATTCTTTCACTGCGTCTTTCTTCGCCCGTTTGCCTCTCTCCCTCGGTTCTGAGGATTTGGAGCCGTCACGCTCACAATAAACACTGACCAACGCAGAGGCAGGCCTATTGTCTATCAACGGCAGATGCCCAAAATATTTTTTCTCCATTACTGAAAGCAAAACGTTCACAAGGCAGCTTTGAAATAGCTACCACCAAACCTTTGTACAATTGCACAGCTGCCTAGATTCATTGTGAGGAGCTTTCCTATAGAAATGATAAAAAAAAAGAAAAAAAAAAAGTTACACTCATCACTTATTTGAACATCTATCTGCATCTGGACAGCTTATATTCTCTGGATTAAGGATCCGTGGACCGTAGAAGATTAAATCAGTCACTCACCAGTCATACTCTTCACCGAACATTGGCTGTTCTTCCTCTTCCTCTTAGGGCCATTGAGCCACCTGAGGGATGATAAAAGGGACAGAAAAGGAAATCAGACTTTGTCGAATTTTCTGTTTTACAATGAGACCACCGGGTTTGTTTCACAGCTGTTGTGTTAAGCAGTCACGGGAAAGTCACAAACACACAAGGTAGCGTGAGGTTGCCAGTTTCTGTACAACTTTATCCACCTATTGAGTTTCTCCCTCGCTCTAATGAGCCACCGCAGCAATTTCCTGAAGCTGAGGCGTGGTCTTTGATTAGGACATGGCAACATCTTGATAATTTACTTTTCTCAACATTCTATTTTTTAGATTCGCTGCTGGTGCGGTATCATTGTCCAGTCGAGCACCCAGTTTGGACCAAGCTCTAATTGTGTGACAGAAGGCCTCACTGAGGCCAGTATGATTTTTTTGACTGGACTAAAAAGCAGATAAAAATTGCTCTATAATGTAGCTGTCCATAACAGAGGCGGATGATCCAGAATGTATACGCAAAAAGCCAAAGAGACAATGTAAGCTCATCTGTGTGAACCGTCTGTGCGCCAGCCATCTGCGCTCTAAAAATCTAGAAAGAAACAAGAGTGTTTTCACAAAGCAATGGAGCACTCAAAGCCGATACTATTAGGAGGCCTTTTATGCAAGTAATTGGGTGTATTTTAACAGTAAAAGCCTCGCTTTTGACCGTGCTCTCAAGCTAAATTCAATAGCAGAAAAATTACTCTGCGGGAAATACACAAATAAGCCCCATAAAGCCCTCCAATTACATGGCTACACATGGGGGGGAAACCCCACACTGACAAAGCAGAGGAGTAGAACCACTCCACGGGCACATCAACACACAGCACATCAGACGCACAGCCGAAACCGCGTCAGCAAAGTTTGAAAGGCACGTTGGAGACAGTCTGCTCAGACGGGAGGTGAAGGGAGAACACGGTCCCAATTAAAGGCCGTGCGCGACACACAGTCAGGTTGTGCAGTCTGTTAATGTCGGAGGTGTTTGCAGTTCAAAGAGTGTGTGGGGTGGTCGGGCTCAACCTCAGAGAGAACAACGAGTACCAGCAGAAACTGCACTGCCTGACCACAGAGATTTCTGCAATAATTAATGTTTTATGCCCAGTTTGTTTATTGTTGTCGCACATAAGGACACCATGTGGAGCTCGGAAAGCCACCGAGGCAGCATATAGTAAGTGCTTAAATAAATAAGCTATAAAAACAGTTTTATTTGCCAAATTAAAATTGTAGGTGAAGGCAGCATTAGTTATTCAGTCTGTAATAAATGGAACAAATAAAAGCTACAGCCAAACGTGAAGTTGCTATTCGCTTAATGTATCTGCTTCGATTTCTCTGCAATATTTAATAGAAATAAAGTTTCAAACGAGTTGAATAACTAAAGTCATACTAAAATTAATGTCGCTATAGAAATGATGAAACATATTTAGTTTTTTATTTTACTAACTGAATTTATGCAATAACAATTCAATTTAATTAGTACATGTTAAGTGTTATTTAGATTACCATTAAAAAGATGCATTCAGATTCATTAATGGAGTTATTACATAAAAATATCAATTAAAATGAGATCAATTTACTGTTTGTCATAAATAATTTATGTAGTAAATATGAATTAATTGTCATATCCTATCCATTTATATTTGTCTATGTAGAACTACCACAATTTATTATATTAACTGTTTGTCTTTGAATTAATAACTTCAACAGCTTTTATCTAATCCAAAAACGTTCGACTTCCTCCGTTTCTTATTTAAGTATCGACGTTTCCTCAATTTTAGATAATCTGCTTCCTTCTGTTTAAGTGTATTTTGCATTTTCATTCAATAAACATATTATTAATTTTCAATAGCAAAAGCAGCTTCTAGTTTTACAAGTCCCCTCTTGTAATTTGCGACGGTGCAAAGACGGAGACATTTTTCTTCTAACGTTTACAAGGTTGACAACTTAAATTCATACCGACGCGATGCAGAATGAAAAAGTCGAAAACAGGACCTACATGTCTGGGCATGCTTGGTATTTAACCTCCCAGTGGGAAAACGAATTTAATTGCCCGTTTAAGTTACTATCATTGTGGCCTAATGCTGCCCTTTACATGTTAGACTTTAATTATAGCTTGGCCCTGCTTATGACTCCCTTTTCCCTTTTCAAAGTCTATAGGGTGGATTACAGCGGCATAAAATAAATCTCTTAAACACCCTATGGAGCCTGATTTATTTTTGATTGTTTTGTTTGGCAGCGTCTTAAAACTCTCTTGCGGCCCACTCGATTGAGATGATGGTCCCGTTTTGTTAGGATGTTGAAGAATGCGACGTTAGAAGCTTAAAAAGCAGAACGTAATTTGACAAACGTGATCCACTGAAGAACGTTCTCACATGTTTGAACTTTTCCACATTTTGAAATGTCGCAAGCAGAGACCTTGGGGTATTTCACTTGATTTGAATTTCATATACAGAGATTAAGTGTTGCTTGTTTACAAATTTGTAGAATTCGTAAACAAGGTGCAAAATTATTGACACCCCTGGAAAAGTCAGATCTTCAACTAGTGAAGAATTTTGTTTCTTTTAGGAAATGAGACAAGAATCTCTCAGAAGATAAAACCACAACATAAAAGGAAAATTGATTTTAAAAAATATATACATCTCCAAATAAAATATTAATAACTGCAAGTTAAAAATTACACCATTCCTAATAATTAGAGGAAAGCTATTTACTGAAGCTACAGTAATTGAACCCTTATTGAAACTGCTGAACAGATTTGTACACGTTTGCAGTATTTAGATCATTTCTTTGGCAAGACGTTGGAAGACCTCTTCGCCATCACCCCAATCTTAAGCTCGCTCAATTCATTTTCTATCAGATTCACAGCTCTGATGGGGATTTTTCAAAACCTGTTACTTCCAGTGAGACGAAACATGATGGAAAAACTAAAAGATTCATTTATTCCTAATCAAACAGATTATTCATTTGTAAAGACAACCTTTTCGCTAAATCAGTTTTGCTTATCCCAAGACTGAAATGGAGAGTGTCTGTGGATATCAATTTTCAGGTCTTGCCGCAGATTTTAATAAAATTCAGCATAAATTTGACTTGATCTAAAACGGGCCTTAACCCTCCTGACTGTTTCGAGCCTTTTGTGTAAAGTTTCTTTTGTTCTTTTGTTCCTGGGCTTGGGCAGTTTTTTTTTTCTTTTTTTTTTTTTGCTTGATCCACCTTCATATCGACACCAACGTTTTCAGATTTTAATTTTTAACTTTTTTTTTTTTTTTGTCATTTACTTCTGTTGGGTCTAGAAGATCTTGATCAACACACTGAAGTTTGCAGGTACGAGGTGACAAAACGGGAATCAGTTGTTTTGTACGTCTGTTTTTCACTTGACATCAGTGTTTCGTTTACATTGAGGGTGAACTTCTCAGTAATAGTTGTGACAGCACTGCAGCATCGAGATAACATTTGAATTTTTATTAAGTGAGGGTAAAAAAAAACAAACAACAAAAAAAAAAAACTGTATCCGTGTAGGTGCTTGGGGCGACAGCCCCTCAGTCAGTCAGTGGCGTGACAGCTCAGACCACCACTGTGACAGGGTGTTTATGCCATCAGAAACATCAACAAAGAGATGCTCTCTCTTTTTTTTTCAGTTTTCTGTCACTCCTACAACTGTGCATTTCTGAAGAAGTCATGGTGTGGAAAAAAAAAAGAGAGAGATGAAAATCAGAGTTGCCACATGCTGCGGTTTGGTTTCCCTCCTCTGAGTACCACACTGTTCTATTTGCAAGCACACATCTGTTACATCACTGCACAACAGCCGGAGAACTGGCGCAGTAATGATATGATTATAAAACGATAATACAAATCTCTGGCTCAGATAGAGCTCTTGCTGTAATCCTCTCTATTAAGTTCTGATTAAACCCAAAACAGAACCATTACTGTTAAAAAAAAAGTTTTGCCGATACAATATTATATATATATATATATATATATATATATATATATATATATTTTTTTTTTTTTTTTTTTTTTTTCTAAAAGGTTTTGTGACGTTATAAAAAGCCGGATGTTAGCAAACCGTCTCGCACGGCTGCCAAACATGTGCACACGTAAGTATCTCAGTTTGGAAATATAAACAACATGCATAATTGAATATTATGCACAGCATTATTTGCTGCAGAGCCATACCTCAGAGGGCTTTCTGATTCCAGCACTCTTAGACTCTCAGCAGCAAGCGCTATAAGCCCCACAAACACACTTAACACACCACCACTTACATAGCACACACTTGAGGACAATGACAGAAAAAGATTAATATGTCCTAAATTTGCATATAACAAACACAAACACACACACACACACACACACACACACACACACACACATATCTTGAAACAAAGAGAACAGAGTATGAAACCAAAAAAAACAAAAAAAAAAACAAAAAAAACTGCAAATTCTCAAACTCACAGCACTGCTGAGCAGATGACGCAGCGAGACTGTAAAATATGCATGGCAGAGGAGTGGCTCGCTAGCCGAAGCTACAGATGTGAGCTGGGGCGCTGCCTCCATGCATCTCTAACATGCAATGCTATGTTTAGTCTGGTGACCCACTCAAGTGCACTCTGCCTCTCCCCTCTTATTCTTTCAGTCTGTTTCACTCTGTCTCTCGGCTACATGAACAGTACCACCCATTCTATCCTGACTGGAGCACAGTCAGCCTCTATGCTGCTGACCCAAATGGTTGCTGTGGATTGTTTAGAAAAGAGTTTATTGACCTGACTGCCTGTAAAAAAAACACTAAGACAAATGTGTTTTTTTTTTTTACTTAAACAAAGGGGAAAAAACATATATATCGACCTAGAAGGTAGGCGTATACAAATGACAGATCACAGAAAATAAAAACAAACCTAACAAACCCAACAGAAATGGATTTGTTGTAATAGATAAATATTTGAATGGTTTACAACATTTTGTAGGCTGACTTTATTGCATTGTGTTATAGAGTTGGAATCTTGATTTTAACACCATAAACAACCCCATAGCCGAGGGATGAGGACATAAAGTTTATGTCAAGAAAACGACAACAGCTTGAGCAGCTGTTTGTGAGCATAAAGTTTATCAGGTAAAACAAAGACCAGTTTTATTTTACAGATAATTGTCTTTTTAGTTTCTTCCAGAGTCTGAGCCAAACGAGGCAAAATAACAAAAGGATGTTTAGTTGCGGATGCAGCTGGAGCGTTGAACTTTTACTGTCCTCTGCCATGTGTTTATTTTGTGTATATTAGTTTGATGCAATGCTTTACACAACATGTAAGATAGTTAGTTTAATCTGATATCGTCAAATCTGTTTTAAAGTTTGTGTAAATGGACTGTTCCTGCTTTCTATACACAAACAAGCATGGACATTTATAAGCTTTTAATTTCCCCAATCAGTTGTGTGTTAAACGCATGACACCTGTTTGTATTTCTTTACACTTATATAATATTTCCTCTTATGCAGGTGAGCTCAACTAAAGTCTAAGCAGCAGCATTGAAAGGCTTTTACAGAAAAAGGACAAAACAAAGACAGAACAGAATTATATCCATAACAGTGTCCAAATGAGGCCCCCTTGTCCTGTGTTCAGAGTGCTACAGTCGCCCATTGTTGTCCCTGCATGTTATCGTCTCACAGCTGAGCCTGTCTCGGCCCATGCATCAAGCGCTAATGACCAATTTATTCCCTCATGCGTCCCTTCGGTGTCTAAAACACAGTCCAAACCAGTGAAGGTTACAGCATGACTGTACTTCTTACACAAATGTACTTTAAACGGCAAATAAACATGGTTACCCACAACTTCACGCATCATGTACTGAGGCACAATGGTAACATTAAACCAGTTTTAACCTTCTATACTTTGCATCACTAGCAATATGCTCCCATACTTTTTTTTTAAAGGGGCTTTGGTTAATAACAAGGGAGATGCAAGAGAAAAGGAAAATGTCAAAAAGTGTGTAGATCTGCTGGTCAAGAACACTGATGGTGTACAATAACATCCAGAAAGAATTTGATATCTGATTGATATGACATGGTCGTGATCTCCATTATTCCAACATGTATTCCAGATTAGTGAATGCACTGCGCAACGGGGTGATTCATTTGGCAAAGTTTATGATACTTTTTCGAATTAATACTTTCCTGAAAATACTGAATGTCACCTCAAATCCTCCAACGCACCGATACATTGCCAAATTACTGTCCAAGGTCAGATTAAATGTCAGTCCTCCACCAGCCTAAATTGGCTCAGAGCACAGACTTTGTGAAATAGACATTTGTAGCCAATATATTCCAGGGCTAACACAAAAAGACTGGAATTTGAACTCTTCAGGCTAACTCGTCAACTCTTGCTAACTTCACATGCATCAGTTTTTATTGTAAGGAAAATCTGGAAAACAGAAAAAGCAAGCAAACATCACATGGAAATGCCTCTGCAAACTAGTTGGTTCAAACCCAAAATCACCAAGAGGAGAAAGAGGAGGCCAAGTATTCACATAGGCTTGAAAAAATGTTAATACCCCGTTATGTTTTTCACATTTTGAGAAGTTACAACCACAGTTTTAATTGCATTCTTTTTGAATTTGCTAGATCAACGCAAAGTGACATAAAATTACAAACTTAAGGAAAAATGATATACTTTTTTTAAAGACATAACCTCACAAGCATGTTGTGCATTTAAGTTCAGCCCTTCTGAGTCAATACTTTTGATGCATTTGCAACTAAAATTAAATCACAACGTCTCATAATTATGTGACTTCTAAATGTAGTTTTTACACATGATTTTGCTTAGGGATTTCTAAGTAAAGGAGTATCACAATAACACGCTGTGAATTTTTGTGTGTATTCAGAAATACCAGCTTTGCCTCTTTTTAAATGAAGGAAATGTTTCTTGGGTCTCTTGTCATTTCGCTGCCACAACACACCTGACTAATACTGCACTATAGGTGAGAATTAGGAACTCTATGCTCCATATGACCAGAAATCAAATGGATCCTGTTAAGATTAGTTTACATCACAGAAACAGTACGAGAAAAACATTTTAGTAGTTTTATATTGTTTCAAATTATGGCTCACATTGACGCTAGAAACTAGACTGCACTCCATGAATAAATGCAAACACGAGATGATCAAGTGAAAAGTGGAATCTTCCGCTGTGCAAAATGTAAAAGCATAAAAAAAGGCCTATTATAGCTCATAGACAATGCTCACTCTTTAAGGGCGTGAGCTACTGCCGTAAAGTTGTTGCAGCAAAGACCGTGCAGGCTTACATCAGCTGCTGTAACATGTTTGGAAACGTGATGCAACACCCAATCCATATTTACCATGAAGGCAGAGCACAAAGCTTCAAATTAGTGTCAAAAACAGCATCAAAAGTAATTGTCCATCAAAAAAGTCTTCCGTTTGTGTGAAAATCAGACAGACAATCATTCCCATTTTGAACTGGAATAACAACGTTCACGTCGTACACAACACGGGCCTATGATAAGCACAGAAAGCACCGACCGCCCAAAGCTCATCAGCAGTAAGCCTTACACTGTTAATTATCTCAACAATGCAACAAATTTCAGCTAGGATGTGTTGCACGTGTTGGGAAAGAACATTGAGCTGAGACACCCTCGAACATGCCAAAAGAAAAATAAAAGTTCGAAGGATTTACTCCCAAAAACACAACAACAACAACGACTGCCCCCCCCCCCAGAGGGAGAGCTGGTATCCCTCCAACAGGTGTCTGTGTTGGCTGAGGAATGCATCCCAGCTTTACACAGTGAAGGAAACCCGGTACCGCATTACCGCACAGACACTCAACCAGTCCTTCTACATGGTGATAAAACATTCACTGTTTCTTTTTTCATTATTATCATGAGCCATTGTTGTTTTCATGCACTGTCCAGCCAGTAGGTGGCAGGGTGTTGACTAATACCTATACAATAAAATGGCATCTTTACAAGTATTCCTTCAAACGGCACATATATAGAAGAACGTGTGTTTTGATGCTGTTCATTTTAGGTACAGTTATGTAAGAAGAGGTTGAATAGATTTAAGATTGACTGGTAAAAGTCAAAGGAAGGATATGGGGGTAAATCGGAAGCTAAGAAAAAGTTCTTATTGCCCTTTGATTTTGCAAAAAGAAGTTGTAATAGGCCGGGTGATCACCATGCCTGCATTCTAAGCTAAGTGTTGTTGCTAGGTAAATACTGTTCTGCAATATTTAATCCATGAGGCAAAATTAAGATAACAAATGCATACTTTAAAATTCCCCATTTAATTAATTCCCAGTCAGGATCAGAGCAGCACCTTTAAAATTCCCACACAAATCAGCTCAATAAGTTCAGAATTTTCCTCCACAGTGTTTTTTTTTTTTTTTTTTATATCAAAGTAGACTGATGATAAATGATAACCCTTTCAATTGGGCCCCAGCCCCGAGTCTTTTCCTTTAAAAGGCCCCAGTTGCCTTCCTCTTGCCCTCCGTGTCACTAATATTGCTTTTTCATTAAGGAGCAGGAGCTTAAACAGTACAGTGTTTGTTTGCACTCAGCTCTGCGTCTCAAGAACCGAACTTAAAGGTCAACATATCGAGACTAAAAGCAGCTACAGGAAAAAGTCCACTTGAAACCGTTCACACATGGAGTAAAAACACCGGTGAGCAAAGTGTGCCTATTTAGAGAAAAAAAAAAAAAGAAAAAAAGAAAAAAATGTCCAAAAGACTTGAACTCACTGTTTCTCTTCTCCCTCTGATGGGTTAGAGTCCTGCTCCTTGGGCATGTGTTCCATTCACCTCAATTCCATCCAGCAGCCAATCATGAGAGACTGAGGCAAGCCCCGCCCTCCGAAGCACGCTCGTCATTCGACGGTCCGGAGGGGTCTGTCTGTAAAGCACAGAGTCGTCTCGTCCCTGGAGTACCTGGGAGGGGAGCAGTGGAGGGCGGGGGGACGCAGTGGGGGTGGGGGGTTGTTGACCCCCTGTGAGGTTGTTGCTGGGTGTGAAGCTTCAGGACACGGAAGAGGTTGGGGTATCCGCGGGGGTAAATCTGCTGGCCCTGCAGCCAGTGCTGGAGGTGGACGTCGCTCTTAGGCAGACGGAAGGAGGAATGGGAGACACCCTGCAGGAGAACACACAAGTACAGAAGAAGATTAGAGAAAAGAATCGCTCCAGCGCTCCTGGATTTCTTCCAAGTAGTAATAGTACTTTTTTTTTTTTTTTATAATTTTAAATCGAGAATTATCATACACAAGAAAAAATAAATAAATAAAAAAAATCTGCTTTCCTGGTCTTTGTGGGTGTGGCCAAATGATGTCAGAAATTATATATATATATATATATATATATATATATATATATATATAAGTTTTTTGGGGGAGATTTGCTGACTGTGGTGCTCAGATGTTGTACATTTGAGTTGGAACTGCAAGAAGTAAAACTTTGAAGCCAAGCACCTCCTATGTACCTCCTTATTTCTATATCAGGGGATTTCAGAGACACTTCTAAACTGTCCTTGCGATCAAACACATCAACTGGATTCTTCGCTTAAGACCACACCAACCAGGCAGGAATCGTTTATCTGCTTGACAGCGCAAAGAAAAAAACAATAACAAAACATCACACTAACGGTTGCAAACGAGAAGCAAATGAAAGGTTCAAAAACAATTCCAAAGCGACAGCCAGCGAGGAACTTTCTTCCAAGCTTTCTTATTGCCAACACATTTTCACAAAGACGAACCGCAGTGCGAATGAGAAAGCAACACCTTCACCACATGTTGTGCCTTCACGGTCTAATGCTCCAGAGCCCCCTGCAAGCAAATCTCATATTTCATCTCTCACAGCATGACCCTGGTCACATGAAACTGGCTTTACCTTGAGCGCGCAGCAGAAGGAGGAATCCTCTGAGTCACACAGAAGATCAATAGCGACAATAGTAAATAAAGGTGGCCTGCAGGTCAAAAAGCCTCCCGTCTTTGTTCTCCAATTGACTAGTTCCTGGAAGCTGAAACCGTAAGGAATGTCTCCCACCATACATGCTTAAGCAGTTATTATGACCAGTGTAATCTGGAAGCACTTGGAGGGTCTTGATGTCTTCTCTTGTTTTCTTCCGACAGCTTTATTTGTTCCTCTGTTAATCCCCTCAGTTCAGTATCTTTCTAATCCTGAACAGTCAGGGGCTGGCTGACCTCAGACAGAATGGATATTATTATTGCTTTCCTCACTCAAACTGATTTTCTTGCAAGTGTTTTTTTCTTTTTTTCCAAAACCATCTTATCCTGCAAGCAGACCTTCAGCAGGAGATTTAGCAATGAATGATAAGGAAACATTTAATGACAAAGCAATAAAAAAAGAGAGAGAGAGATACACTACACTCTGGTAAACACCACGCCATCAAACAGATGATTTTTAGAGAGAATTTGACTTTAAATCAAATTCCAGGGTTGAAGCAATCACAATCAATTTCAATTAATTAATTATGAGTTTTTAAATGCTTCACAAATCTGACATTAGGAATTTTAAAATTACTGAAGTTGAGCGTTCAACATAACAGTTCTATATTTATTCAAAGTGTGAAGGTAGTTTCCTCTCCACAGCCACATCTTGTCAAGAAAGTTAAATGGGTACAACTTTAGGCAGAGAGGTGAAAAAAAAAAAAAGACAGAGGCCAGAAACGTAACCTCTACTTTAAGTGAAAACTGTTCTAAGATCCACAAATCAACCAACATGTTTTGGTTATTCGGATGCTGGGATTATTTTGTAACTAACTTTTTTTCAAGAGTCAAATTAAATTCATAACTATGCAGCTTTTGTACCCTCCTTGGGGACGTTTCTTAGGGCGAAGTTAATTATGGCAAATATATTAGTTATTTTATAGCTCTGCGGGGATTGCTAAGCATCTCAGGATAAATTACTTTTTTTTTTATTTTGGTTCTCTGCATCATGGTATTTTTAGTTTTGTTAGAAAATAACAATAACCAAGCAGTTGGTGCCAGAGATACAAATAACAAGGGGAGTTCAATTCTCTAAATTAATCTGAATGAATGACGGTCAAAATTTAAGACGTAATTAAAGGCAATTGCAGAACAAACTGCCATGGAGGATTTAGAGGTATTTAATATTTTTAATGAGTAAAGTTCAGGATTAAAATCAAGCACACTTTAAAGATCTTTTCAAAAGTCCGCACAAACACCTTGTTCTGTGGGGAAGCACTGTAACAGACAATATCTGTCAGAGAGACATTGGTCTTATCTGAGATTGTACCTCTCATATTTCATATTTTAACGAGTCTACAGGAAGATTAGAATTATCTGAATTTCTGACATTCCCACAATGTTTCTTTTAGATTATGGCTTTTCCTGGTTGGTACCAATTTCAGTCTAAGGACTGACCTTCCATAGCTCATTTTTTCATGGATGCTGTTTTTCTTTCCTAAGAATTATGGGCAATGAATTGGAGAAAAGAAAAAAAAAAGTGCTATAAGTTCTCTAGGTTGGAACAGAACAGAAAAATAGGAACACCGTGCATCTGTAGTCTAATAAACTTTTCCCCCCATGCATCAGTCTCAGTTGTGTGTTTTTATCGGCGCACTTAATTAATGGTTGTGTTGTGTCTTCATTCTTCCATGCCTCATCTGCTGCCTTTTGGTTATAGTTTGAGATTGCAGATAAAACCATTAAACTCATCACTGCAGAACAGTTTGCTTTGCATTTTTCAAACTAAGCAGGTTTAGAATAAAATGGGTGCAAATAATGCCCAAAGAATGGTATGAAGCTCAAACTCATATAAGAGAAAAACAAAAGTGAAATGACAGCAGAAAGAATGCAGTAAATCACTGGTACATCTTGCAGCCATCACACAGACAAATTACAACCAGAAGAATCACCAAAACATCTAACTCTGCAGCCTTCAGTAACACAACGACCTCCAGAATGAACCCGAATACATAATATTTCTGCAAAATATTTTCGCAGCCTCTGCGGATTTGGAAATCCGTGTAAGCCTGAGCTTCAGGCTCTTCGACCCGAGCACAACTGCTGAGAGTGGCAGGGAGGGTGATGACATAAAGCTGGGAGGCAAACCGCTAATGGAGTGTCCTTTATCAAAGGGCCTCTCTCTATCACATCAACTTCTGCCACAAGTGGAACCAGCCTCAGTTCGTGTTTGTGGCACATACAATTAGTTGTTTATCACACTGGGACAATGAGGGTAGAGGAAGGGGGGGGGGGGAGAGAAAAAGGGGAGGTATTGTTTGATTAGCAACTGCAATAACATTGAAACATTAAATCTTTGGTTTAAAGAACGGCCAACCCACTTTAAAAGAAACTTCAGTCGTTTCAATCTTGTGCTTAAAACTGTTTTCATCTCGCTCTCCATTAAAAGCCAGGGTGTCGGGGAACATTATGGAAACCCTTTGATTTGTTATGACCTGCATTTAGAGAGGACACAGAGAAATTGTGACTGGTTCTGATTGCCAGTGAGTCAGGCGAGACCTAAAAACACAAACAGGTTGCCCTGGGAACGGCACCACTCGGAGTGGAAGTTGTCACTGAAGCAGGACGGCCCAGCACGTCAGTGAAGTGCTTGAAGAGAAAGTCAGAAGACGATAAAAATCTAAGAGGTATGCCGGCTGTTCAAGCAAGGTCTCACTTGTATCACTCCGAGAGATAACGGTGGATTACAACAAAACTTCTCCAGATACATTTTTGTCTGGTGTGTAATCCCGATTCCATTTTACTTTTTGCTACAGACAATAGCACTCCATCAAAACATGCTAGCGATATTACAATTAATGTTGAAACAAAGTAAGGATCAAACACAGAGGACTGATATGAGACCGAGACTTCGTCAAAAATGAAAATTCTTCAAGATTTGCCTTAGAAAATGTTTGTAGTACAACTTATCTGCTCCGCTCAGAAGCCGCAATGATTCTCACATTTTCTTAACTACTGTGTCCTTGTTTGCTCTTGCTCCAATGCAGGAAGTTCTGCTAACATTAATATCCTCTGCCCAGGGGTCGGGGGATGGAAATTCATTTTGTGGAGATAAGGCGGGAAAGAAAGCAAGTGAGATAAAATTGGTTTAAGATAATACACAGTTTATAAAATAAGGGTGGAAAAGTTGACGGAAAAGTGGAACGTTGGAGTAAAGATGATACAAACTTTAATCAGAGAGAAACAAGACTTGTCGTGTGCAGATTATAGAGGTATTCAGCTTTTCACCCCCCAAGAAGCAGTGAACACATACTGGGTGCCACGTAGTACATTTAGGTAAAGTGATTTGCAATAGCGATCACCTTTTCAAAAGTCTTACTAATGTTTTAGTGGTAACTGAATAAGTAAACATCTGTGGGGCCACAAAACCATGCCAGTGCTATATTCAAATCAGGGCAATTTATTTTGGGTCAATTGTCATGGATCAAAAACTGAACAAAGTAGGCCAATGATCGATGAAGTACAACAACGTTCACTGAGTGGGCAATGCTACAAAGAAAACAATCACTGTGATATAAAAAAAATATGATTAAGGATTAAAATGATGATGATTTTAATAAAACAGACCAAATGTCTAATTGTCCCAAATGTTGTAAAAGGAAAGCAGGCCACCGACCAGTAAACAAACCACAAGTACTGGAGAAGTTGAGGAACAAATAAAACCTACGCATTTCCTTCTAAAAGCTTAAGGAACAGAATCCATGTCCCTCATTAAAAAACAACAATAACAACAACAACAAAAAACAGAGGAAAGCAGGGATGGTGGTGCAGCAGAGGCAAAGTGTTATGTTCAGAACCAGTTTGTTTTTGCTTTTAGAACAGACACAAATCAAATTTGCTTCCAGAACAGACTCCTAGTTTTACTTGACAAGTTTGAGTTGTGGTGCGGAACCATCACAGCAAGTATAATGCCCATTACAACTTTTTTCTTTTATTTATTTATTTACGTGCAAAACAGAATTAAATACTGTCGAATATAAACAGATAGCTCACTAAGTGAGAAGGTTAAGTCAAGGATGATCAGAGAGACAAAGGTTAACTGAATGTAGGAGTAACATACATTCAGTGCATACATAGCAGCTTCTCAGAGACTCGACAGTTTGCCATTAGATTTAAATGAGGAAATATG